GGCACGCGAGAGAAAACCCCAGGGCCTGCCCCCAAAAGCCAGTGGCTGCCACCAAGGAGCACAGCCCCATCAGCTGGAGGAATCATTGGCCCCGGGGGGTGCGGGGTGACTACTGGGTGCTCGCTCTGCAACCCTCTCGGAGCTGCGGCAGGGCCAGGTACCAGGGGTTTGATTTCAGGCATGGGCTTCAGCTGCCTGGGCAGTACCCGTGGTCAGAATGGTGGTGTTGGTTTTGAGAAGGAAACCTGCCTTCTCCTCTTCCAGCAACAGAAAGTTAAAGGGCTGGAACTTGCCATCCAGATTCAGTCTTAGGCATTAGCATGGGTGTCTTGGACGACCCTTGGTAAGGACATTTAACCCCTTTGCTCCTGCTGCCATGCCTTTAAGATGTAAGGTAATGCCATACCGCCAGAGAAGTCGTGGAGATGCGTTCACTCCTTTTTCTGAGGTAGTCAGATAACACTGCAAAAATCCTAGATAGAAATAAATCACTTCTCAGATTTGAGCACAAACGTGAGGCTGTGTTATTGAAAATAAATGCTGCATGAACTGTTTCCTCTCTTGCTTATGTATAATCCGATAGTGGCGTCCCACCTCTGCCAGGAAGAGCAGCGTATTTTAATAAAGTCGGGGAGGTGTTGCTGTCCCCACTGAAAGAAATTACAGAACTCCCAGGATCAGAAAATTAATCCAGATGCTTTGGACGGAATTGACAGAGTCTTGGGAAGTTTAAGGGAAAGCTCAGGTACACCCAGCTGGGGGAACAGGGGAAAATGCCACCAATGGCTGCCTTTTGCTACGAGAACCCCAGCATGCAGGTGTCGTTAAGAAACCAGGGAATGGTTTCTTAACCAAACTTATACACACATCTTGGGCATTGCTGCATGCATGCAACAGATCTGACAGGTCTCCACCAGCCCCTGGAAGCAGGCACTTCTGGAGACCTCTGAGTCCGACAGGAAACCGCTCCCTTCCTGCGTGCCACCAGGGTGTAAGTACACTATCAAAGGGGTGGTACAGAGAGGAGGGAGAGGAGTTTTTTTTCCCTGTAATTGTTGATAACAGGCCAAGACATGATGCATTTGAAGCTGAAGTCCAAGGGAAGTTACGAGGTGGCCATACTGTGCTGCTCCTCGAGGTTGGAGGAAAAACACTGTATATAGAAGAAAGGACAGATATCTATCAAGCACCTAATTACCACTTCTGGATTTTCAGGGTTTTTTTCATTAAAAAGGCCATTCTCACGCCTCTCTCCAGAAAGGAAAGCCAGGAAAGTAGTTTGTTAAAAAAGAAATCAAGGTCTTGTATTTCCCTTCTCCTTTATTCATTCTCTGTTTCTTTCCTTCCCATTTTTCCCATTCCTTCCCCTTCAGCTTTCCCTCCCCTCTTCCTTCAAGAGTGGCAAATGGGAAAAAAAGGAGAAGGAAATTATAGTTAAAAATTTGTACTGGAAAAAATGCGAAGAAAGAAAGATAAACCAAATGGCAAACAAGCCAAACAAGTTGTTATTTACTTGCCACACTCTCCCCACCGTTCACCCACCGTCCCAGCCAGAGAGGCTGTGTCCATCCCTGTGTGCACTGAACAAGCCCCTCCACATGCCCTTCTGGCAAGTTTCTTTTTCACAAAGAGAAAAGTGTCATTCTTGAGCCTCTTCCTTTAGATCCTCACCCGAATGAAGGTTATTCCTGGTCTGGCTGGACTGCTGGCCTCTGCACTTGGTCAGGTAGGGACACACCATGGTGGTCCTCGCACAGCCCCGGGGCTGCAGCCAGCCGGGGGGCCCGTCCCATCCCATCCCTGGAGGATGCACCCAGGCTGTGGAGGACTCTTAGAGCAATTCTTGCACTTCTACCTTTGTCCAGCATGAAGTAATACGTATTTCTTCTCATCATCAGGATATATTCAATTTTCATGACTCTAGCCCTCAACATAGTATTTTGGCAGAGAGGAGAATTGCAGTGGTATTTCGTCTTGGTTGGAGCTCGGTTCTCAAACCTTCTCCTGCCCCAGGTGTCCATGGTAGCCCTCAGGCAAAGGACAGTGACCTGCTGTAGCTCCCAATGAGCTGGAGATGCAGCTCTGCCCTCCCTCCAGCCCTCATCTTAGCTTTTTGGGTGGAGAGAAGCTATGCCCACGGTTGCCCTAGCGCAGGGGTTAGCTTACCAAGGATCGGAGCCACAGCTCTGTCCTGAGCAAAGCTCTTGATTTTCCCTTGATCCTGTCCATGTGTTGCACCCTGCCAAGGGCCAGGGTGCAACACATGGACAGGATCAAGGGAAAATCCTCCCTCATCCTCCAGGATGAGCTGGAGGAAATGGGGCATTTTTGGTTATGAAAACCCTTAGCAGAGCAGGGGGGACTGGTTTCTCAGCTCCTAGGTCGTGTTTATGTTGTGTGAGTTATGGGTGTTCTGCAGCAGCTGCGCGGCTTGTACTTGCATCTGGGGACTTCCCTGAGCTTTTGCTTCCCTGGTGTGTGGCAGGAGGGGTTTGGTGGGGTCCTTTCCCGCTCTTGAAGGGCCTTGCCCAGGTAGAAAGAAGACACAGTCACCAAGTGACTTGGGTGCACAGTAAACAAGGCCCAGGAAAGAGGCAGCCTGCAGTCATGAGGGTATCAAGAGCATCAGGTCATCTTGCTGTTCTTTGTTAGGTTACATGTCCTTACATGGGGTAACCTCTTACTAATTAGCTAAGTTGGGTTTGGACAGGGTAAGAGGGGAGCAATGTTCATCAAAGGAGAAGGTAAAATAATATAGGCTTTCAAAATGTAAGGATTAAAATTCAGCAATGTTCATCAAAGGAGAAGGTAATATAGGCTTTCAAAATGTAAGGATTAAAATTTAAGACCTGGGAGGCTGAGGAGATGTGTATATGTTGCTATCCAGGTCCCTCCGTGGGGCTGCAG